GATCAGTATGGGTGGTACATAGCTGGTTGATATACAAACAATGCTTGTGTTCCAGCTTTATTCGTTCCATCCTGGATTCTGCACCCCTGATGATCAGTATGGGTGGTACATAGCTGGTTGATATACAAACAATGCTTGTGTTCCAGCTTTATTCGTTCCATCCTGGATTCTGCACCCCTGATGATCAGTATGGGTGGTACATAGCTGGTTGATATACAAACAATACTTGTGTTCCAGCTTTATTCGTTCCATCCTGGATTCTGCACCACTGATGATCAGTATGGGTGGTACATAGCTGGTTGATATACAAACAATGCTTATTTTCATGACTAGTTGCAAGATGTATTTCAGTCACTCCCCATCAAAGCCCTATTACACTTCACAAGCCTCTGTAACATCAGAGATCACAAAAAGGCCTTGCAAGAAAAATTATTCACTAGAGACTTGCCGAGTAAAGACTATGTATTCCATAATCAAGCCTTTGCTCTTATCATTTGAGACATTTCAGCTCCATAATAATCCAACAGACATCAACCAAGCAGGTGAATGCCTAAAAGGCACCCAAACAACAGGGGTTCAGTTCCAACAAACTACTGGTTAGAATAATAAATAAACACTCAAACAACCCATGTTGTTGTAAAGTATTTAATCTAATATTTGATCCTAAGCCCCTACTTTCTGATACATACTTTATTTGATTTTCCCACTTCCTTGAAGGTCTTACATCTTGCATTGATGATGGAACAGAAGACCATGTAGGTTTATATCGAGAGGTTGGCTCAGGAGTACCGTGTGAAACCTAAAAATACACATATTAATATTAGAATACAAAATGTATTTTAAAATGAACTAATTAAACCAAAGAGTAACACCTTATACACTTTAACATGTATGAAGAATACAGACCACTAAACAAACATCTAGATAAGTGCAGCTCAGTGATTAACACTCTTAATACGTATGAAGTACATGGTCCACTAAACAAACATCTAGTTCAGTAAAACTCAGTGATTAACACTAATATGTATGAAGTATATGGACCACTAAACAAATGTTATGACAGCGGAAGTCGCGTAACACTGTAAACATGCATACTGGAGTTTCTAGAATTATCAGGGAACCCTGCGAATGTCCGAGTGTTTGCCAGACGCCCTCTTTTTTAGTACATAAGCCCATCAAATAAGGCCAGCGAGAGACAGATATGCAGATAGATTGAAGATAGAGATAACTGAG